ATGAACTTTCTATGTTACAGGTGGCCAGCTTCAAGTCCAGGCACATCCCTTTGGACAAGAACCAGCATCACTTCCTATTTTACTACGACTGTACCAGATAAATGAAATAAATAGTAGCATTACTGTAACTGACTCTCTGATGATTTGCCTCTCTCACTTCCCTCCACTCAAATCAACACACGACAACATATTTTAGGATCAAGTAATAAGCGGTATATGTGGAGATAGCAAAAAGACAGCAAAGATATAGCAAGAAGTAACCCCCTAATAGAAACAAATACCAAAATAAACTTTTACCCATCATGATTCTACCATAATATATTGATATTTTTTTGTTAAAATTACATAAAAAGTCAAAACTTACCAGATTCATTCCTGTGATCATGAGAAAAAGGGGCCATTTCTCATGCTGTGCTGTGACGCCGATATAGCATACATTGGGTGACAGCTGACGGCTGCGTAGCTGATATGTCAAGCGCAAATGCAACTCATGGACGGTCTTCCTGCAACAAGGGTAAAAACAGAATTTTGGTCTTCATATATCATGGTTACACCAACTCCTCTACAGGGAGCTCCATAACATTAACTTGCCATGCTTCAAAAGCATTGCCTAGGACAAAACAATGTCAACTCAACGTCAAACGTTCACAGGCGGAATATATAAATATTTATGCACTTTGCACTCTGTTTCCATATTATTTACTTTACATTTTTATCAATTATTCAAGGACTAATGAGAAAAATGAGCATTAGTTGGCACAACCTGGAATATTTCCGCCTTCCGCCTGTCCTTGAGCAGGAAAAAGTGCAAAATCACAGAAGAGATAGAAGAAAAATCAGAACCTAAACACATTATAGATAGATATTTGTAAGACTTCATAAAAATTAATAAAGTAAAACAGCAAAATTGTAAGTCCTTGTTTTGTCCAGTCCTACTAAATATATCTATCTTTCCTCTCTCGCAATCATTAGTGCAGCAAAAATGTTAAAGACATTGGGGATCGTAGAGGCTTCAAAATTTATTTCTGCTGACTCAATTAACAGGTAAAAAAAACAAAAAAAATTGAATCCCGCCTGAAAATTTTTTGGGGACTGTATGTATCAAAGATTAAAACCAGAAATCAGTTGTGCTGTTTGCATCAAAGTATACTTTTGATCTGTATTTCAATTCTGTATTTCTTCGAACTGAAATATAAATAAACTAAACTAAACAAAACACAAATCCCCATGAAATATTATTAACAAAACTGAGCATAGTCCTGTAAGGATAATCCTCTCAGTTCATAAAAGGCCCTGGTCTCATCCTAATTTGATTGCAAATGCTTTTAATCAATGTATTATAAATGTGCCCTCCTCAATATTGAGAATGGGCCAGAGAATGGGCCAGAGAGTGGACCTGAGAGATAGTATTTCGACACCTCAAAATCAGAACTAGTAGAAATTTCCAAGGAGCTTAACAGTAAAGATTAGTTTAATGCCCAATGATTTAAACACAAATATGTAAGTCTATACTGATAAACAAAGTGTGGAACTGGCGTGCCCAGCCCATGCAAGTGCTCCACACCACATTGCACACTCTTAAATAAGTGTTTAAACTGAACATTTGAATACTAATACTTGTTTAACAGTAAAGTTGGAAGTGTGCAACTCTGGGACTTGCCATTAAGCTTTAGACACTTTACAGTGTTCAAATTTACTGTTGAACACCAGTATTCAAATTTCCTATCCAATGCCTAAGAGTGTGCACCATACAGTTGAACACTACCATGTGCATGCCAGTTGAAGACTATATTCATCTTGATGAAAATAAAAAGCAAAATTGAAACCCCTCTCCAGATGTTGTACTCACCATGTAAAACACCATTGTAGTCTGACCATGAAAGTTTGCCCTCAGTTTGGAGAGATCATCCTCATCAATCTCAGAGGAAAAAATGATTTTAATGGGAATCACCTAAAAGGAAAAGAAATACAGATTTTCATCAATTTATATGCTTTATCTAAGACTTGATACAACAGAAATCAAAAAAGTTTCAAAATTAAATCTTACCTTTAATACTTGTATTGTGGATATTGCAGAACAGAAGATTCAGCACCTAAGCTATTATTAGTTACTCATACATTGAGAAGTTCGGCCCCAGAACTGTAAGAAGCAGGCAAAGTGAGAACAACTCTTTCAATTATTTAGAGAGAATAAAATGACTGTAGTAAGCTGATACTGAGTAATTTTATGGCTCACCTCAACAGCAACTCTCACCACAAATAAATGAATGCTGAAAAGAGCACCCCAAGGAGAAGCAATAGTGTTCGTTCAACAATCTCTCCACATTTGTTGGTTTCAAACATGTAATTATAGTGCTGAATGCAAAGTTAAAAAGAAAAAAGCTGCAGAAGTGTTAGTAAAAAATAACAACTTAAGTTAACCAGACTTCGGCGACTCTTTATTTAACAGAAAAATTTATTACAATAATATATTGCTAAAGTAAAGTACGACATTTTTATACAATATTTTGTTACGATTAAGTCTTTTCACCTATAATTATTATCTCTCCTGCCACCTCCTCTGCCGCCGTGGTGCCCTTGGTCCCTGTACCCTCCACCTCCACCACCTCCCCTCCCACCTCCGTAGCCCCGGTCGCGGTCCTGACCCTGACCGCCCCTGTTCCAGCCGCCCCCTTGCTCGCGGTCCTGACCTCCCCTGTTCCAGCCGCCCCCTTGCTCGCGGTCCTGACCGCCCCTGTTCCAGCCGCCACCTTGCTCGCGGTCCTGACCGCCCCTGTTCCAGCCGCCCGCCTGGTCTCTGTTTGCTCTCCCCTGGTCGCGGCCCTGGTCCCGGTCCCGGTTGTAGCCGCCCTGGCCTCGATCGTTGCTTCCCTGGTTCCAGCCGCCCTGGACGCGGTTCCTATCGCCACCTCCACCACCGTGGCCACCGTGTCCACCGCGCCCTCCCCGACCTCCTCCTCCGCCGCCGCCGCCACCACCACCCCTGCCGCCGCCGCCTCGGCCCCCACCTCCACCTACGGAAATGTAAAGCACAGAATTATAGGCAAGTCTGCCACCATAGTTATTTTCATCATCCTGATTAAAAAATTCTTACCTGCACTCCGCTCCTTCTGCCAGCTGGGCATTTCTGGTGGAGGCGGTGCTTGGTCAGTTGTGCGCCCACCACGATCAGGAACCTAGCAGGGAATTACATTCATATTTCATATTTGAAATGAAAAATGAAACAGGAGTACCATGAGGATCAAAATCATGGGAAATGATGGAATAAGACATACCCGACCAATAATAACTTTGGTAAGTTGTGTCTGCGTATTCTTTCTGACGTTTGCACTACTTGTTTTCTCTATAATTGCAAGATCTACACGTGCTGCAAGTAAATCCGATAATTCTACAGTTGGCTCAGAAGACATAGCCCTCCGTTTGACAGCCATTGCATTTGCTATTTCTTCTCCTTTATGCTTTACCCTATCAGACCACTGAAATAAAATTATTTGATAAGTATAGATAATACAGGGAAATATTTATGTGGGAATTACAAGTATAGCTCACCTGAAATGACTGTACTGTGACATCTAAGCGCTTAATTAACATTTCTCGACGCATACGGTACTCATCATGCAGATCTCTTTGGATATTTGAAAGCTGATGCCACTGCTTATCTGTCAGTACTCCTTGAAACAGAGGTTGGCTTAAAAGATCTGCTGGGGCTTTGGATATAACTTCTTTTAGCTGAGTAAAACAAATAAAAATTAAAATGTAGGTTGGCATACGGAAAACAAAGTTTACTCTCCTATCATCAAATGGGGAGACTCACTCTTTGTTCCACTTTAACAAACAGCTGAGCAGGCTGAATATTATCTGGTGGCTTGGGAAATTTCAATGCTATCAACATATTTTTGAGCTCACTTGCTGTGGATGTTTCTTGCTGTAGATAACAGGAAAAAACAGTGGCTTTACTCTTTTTTAAGAAATACATCAACTACTGGTAAAAGTACCATACTCACAAGTTTTATTTCCATAAAAGAAGAGATTGAAGGTTTTTTAACTGCTATCATTCGAGCAGACTGGAGTTCAGTTACAAGATAGTGAAGAAGTAACAGAGCATTTCGTTTGCCATTCAGTCGTTCAGAAATATGTCCCTCAGTTAGAAACTTGTACTGACAACCTGAAAACATATTGGATGAGTTTAAGATGTAGTTATTGGCATTTTAAGTGGGTAGTAAGTTAAATCCTTTATTGTTGACCTTACCAATTTCTTTGAGAAAGCTGCTTAGCTCTAAAAGAAACGACGCACTATCCTCTGAAGTAGAGATGTCATTGACCTGCTCGTCCAATTTGCATAATGCCTTCAGCTCAGCTGCTAACCACACAACTGCTTTCCTGAATTCTTCTGATTTTGTGGTTCCTTCAAGGGCTTTATCAAGACCCCCTTCTCCCAATATTGGCCCATTGTACCTACGCAATTACAGGGAATAAAAAAGCTTTCATGGTTTGGATGATATGAAACTCACAAATTGAATATTGAATTATCAACACAACTCTACAGCATGAAATAAATATCGAAAAATTAAGTTGACCGAGTAACAAAGATAATTAAATGAAACATTTTTGTCATAATTATTACAAATGTTTGAATGACAGCGACGCCTTAACCTTCCTTCACATTTCAACGCAAAGTTTCTGAGATACAATCAGTGCTACTAAATATAATTTCAAGGCACCTACCCAACATCTTGAAGGGCATCAATGACATCATTCTCCATGGTTATTATTACTCAATTAAATAGATTAAAGTCGGCCGACACTGAACACATTCCCAGCCGACTGAATCAATCGTGATCGACACCGGTGGAGGTGGGAACAGAGTACATGCAATATTTTCATACCCACTCGTTTTCGTCAGCGAAGCGAAGGCTCTTGCGAGGCTACCTAAACCTAAACATAACCTCCCCTTTTCGCCTTCGACTGCTGTTGCAGACGCACCATCACGTCATTCCTGCAACAATCAGCCAACAAATTTGCAGAGATCAAAATGACTGATAAGCAGTCATTTCACCTGTCTAATGCAGCAAACCGACTTTCTAACGAGGGGAGTCTAAGTCACCTCAAAAGTCACTTCCTGTAAGTGTTATCCTCATTTCTTTGTTATCTAAGTGACAGGTTATGTTCTACTGACAAGGATGTCAAATCAAATTATTTCGCAACTTTCTTTTCTAGGTATTAATTGTTTGATGTGTTCTTTCAGATGGATTTGCTCTGCTCTCAGTGGTAAGCAGATTAGTAAATGCGACACCATGATGTGTCCAAAGTGTTGCGAGGTGTGGAACACAGGGAAGTTTGCACTAAAAGTTGTTTCAAAGTCGACTCCTGGACCACGGATGATGAAGATTTTGAGGAAGTTTGAAAAAGAACCAGAAAAACTGACTCGTGTAGAATCGAGCTTGCTAAAGAGACACCAACAGACTAACAAAAACAAACTGGTGAGAATAAAGATCTTCTCTTTTCTTGGGGATACAATATATCTTATGAAAGTGGCTAATTTCATTCTTAATTTGATCTCCAGGTTCTTCGCTGTTTAGTCTGCAAGAATGAAACAATTATCCCATTCCAAAAGCAAATTCCAGAGAAAGCTCCCACATGTGAAACTCCTGCTGCTGAGTGTTCAATAGTTATGTCCACCAAGAAGAAAAAGAAGAAAGACCGATTTGCAGGACTTAATGTGTCAGCTGTTATGTCAGCATCACCCTCTCCTTTCAATTCAAGCAAGAGAAACATGCATATTAATAGAATTAATGGAACTCCAAGTTCTGTTTCTACTGCAAATGAAATCAAAATTAACTCCCCAAGCCAGATGACCAACAATCGTTCAAGTATGACACCAATAGCTTCTAAAGTTTTAATCTCCGAAACCAATAGGAAGAGTGGTCAAAAGCCTGTGTGGAAAAAGATGCAATCTTTACGCGAGGAAATTAAACTAGAAGAAAAGAACAGAATTAAAGACCATCACAAGGCCCTTACTATTAGAAACCTTAATGTTAAAAAGAACAATAAGCTTCAAGATTTTATTAGTAGAAAGGAAAAGGATGTCCACTTAGAAGATCGTATCAATTGTCTTCTGCAAATTTGATGGCTGACTAGAATTCAGAGGTGTATTTAAGTAAAGGATCAGTAAATAAGTCTAAAAAAAATTAATCTTTGTATATCATTAAATACACATACACATTTGAACGGACTAATTTACACAGCTTGGAGTATGTGAATCAGATCGCATCATCTTCTTGCAAATCATCCTCATCAACTTCCCACTCTCCAATTTCATCTTCCTCATCCTGTTCATCAGAATCACTGGAATCTGATAAACCCTCTAATTTTCTGGATGTGGTAGCCTCAGAGCTGCTTGTTTCATCTATGAAAAAAAGTGAAAAGAACAATTGTAGATTATTACACACCAGTTTCCATTGTAAGTTCAGAAATTGGCTTAGTTCCAGATTTACCTGTGAGAGGGCTAACAGTCTTCAAAGTTTCAATAACAAGATTGTTTATTATTTCTCTGCATTGATCTGCAAAACCAGATGGCAGCCATCCATCTCTTTCATGACATTTGAAATCAGGCAAGGGTAAAGGCAATTTCTGCATCATTTCCTGGATTTCAGGTACTTGGACATCACAGTACTGGAAGAAATAATATCATACTTAATGTGTTATGAACGACTTTTTCAAAAACTACAAAAAGTGGGGATACCTACTTGGTAAAACATCTGTCGGCTTGGTGGAACCATGCCTGGTGTGAACATGTAATTACTTTCTCGATACTCAGAATCATTCTTAGACTTAGCAGTTGCCTCCATATCACTGTATGGTAACTCCTTATTCAAAAGCGCAACTTTGGCTTGACATGCTGGAGTCAACTTATAGGGAAGAAGATAGTTTGTATAACTCCTCTTAGCTTTGACCTTTGTGGTCATTCCACCTAGAAAATTTAAGTTGCACAAGCATGAGAGGATAAAATCTATTGGTCAATCAATTGTGCCTTTAATATCCTCTTACCCTTCCGCCGTAGACGGTAATCTAGGGTCTGATAAATTCGTGCAGATGTATCTTTACGAGGGTCATATCCAAATCGAACCCACATGACTCTCCAGGGACCAGTGACAAAGTAATAAGCAACAGTCGGCAGTAGAAACTTCATCTGATCACTGGTGTAGTTTGTTTTACACATAAGTGCATATTTGGACCATACAGGGCGCTCTTCAAACAGCTATTGAGAAAAACAACGCGTCATCCAAAAAATAAACCAAAATTTCAGGAAAAAAAGAAAAGTATTGGATGTTTTTTGATTACCTTTTTAACAACATTGAGATGTAAATCTTCCAAAAATTTCACCTGTAATAATTTAAGAGCCATTTCTCTAGGCTGATTTGGGATCTCAGGAACATCAAAGTTCACAAAAACTGCATGAATTGATCTTCTTCTCCGAGTTCTTCCAATGATATTGTGTGGTACTGCAGCTTCTGAGGGAGCATCTTTGCGGTACATGTAACCCTAAAGGGAGTTCAGAACAGAAGCAGTACATAGTAAGTTGTTCTGTGATCGTGCTGTGATTGAAAACATTCAGAGCTATGATTAAGACTTTACCTGGACTGTATCCATTCGCGAAAAGGCTGCAGGTGGAAGAAAATACATGGCAGGTTTATTAATCCATGACAGAGGAACTATTCCATCTGGGACGAGTGTATTGTAGATGCATTCCATTTTTGTTAAATCATTAGGAGGTGCATGCATTGACAAATATTGAAAATCACAGAGATCTGTAAATAATAGAGAGGGGCGTAAAAATGGTTGACAGACAACACTTCAACAGTTCACACTCCTGCAGAATTGTGACCAACTCACTGGTAAACCTAAACACCGAGTTAATTTTTCCAACAACATTTGTCTTGACCTTGACTATCTGATCATCGGATTTTCTTCGCCTCACTTTAACTTTCAAAAGGACTGCGGACACTTGCTGTTTGTCGCCACAAGCTGGTTTACAGAATACATCATCAGGACGAAATCTTAATTCGAGTCTACGGTTTTTCTCACAGTATGCCTACAACGATTAACAAAGAAAATTAACAACATAGTCTCTTTTATTCATTTCATTCACAATATGCATGCGAGTTAACCTCCACTCACAGTGGATATATTTCGAATTCCCCCGAGAGTACTAATCATTTTGTCCACATTGACCACACGCCCCGGGTACTCGATACAAACAAGTGACTTTCCTAATCCCGCTTCGAACTGATTCATAGGGCAATCCATTTCTATTGACGTTAAAAGAGAATTGTTGCGGAATCAAAACATCAAACCATGGACCGGCGGTAAACACACCGCACCGCGGTGGAAAGGAGGAGGGGGTGGGGGAGGGG